TTCCTCTCCACTATTTTTTTTTTTTTTTTTTTTTAAAATCACTGTGCACATATTTATGTTTTATTCTTGAATTAACTCTGAAGAGGAAGAAATGATAACCGGTTAGCTTTTTTTTTTCTATTTTTTTTTTTTTTTGCTTGCTCTTCCTCCCTCGGCTTTAATATCTTCATATATAAATGTTAATATATACTTTTGTAAATATCTATTTTTAAAACTATGACAAACCTTTTAATATTTGTATCTTATCTTCCAGAACCTAAAAAATAAAATGGCACTCAGTGTGAAATATTGAGCTTACAGGTTATAAGGATTAATTTCCTATTAAGATGGGATAAAAGGACTTCAGATCTTAAGCCAGGTGCAATTGATATAACAGTGAAATCAGAATGATATCTCAATGTAAATAAGTTATAAAAGATATATGGAATTTCCAATAAATAAATACTTGCCAAAAATCAATACTTCATTTAGAAAAAAAATGTGCTATTATTTTGATAATTATTAACATGCTGACAAGGATGTGAATCATTGAAATATTAACAAAAAACAAGTATGCTTTCAGGCTTTTTTATCAGGTCATCCCATAAGTTCTGTCCAAATTTTGAATAAAGAAAACAAGTGACAAAATGTTACATTTAATTACAGATTCAATCAACAATGTATTTTCCCTGATTATCTATGACTTCCTTCCATCTATTAACAAGCTTACTAATTCCATTACTGTAAAATTCTTTTGGCTTTGATTGGCTTCCTGTGTTACAAAAGCTGTTTCTTCCAAATGATTCTGTAAGCTACGAAACAAATGGTAGTCTGAAGGAATAAGATCGGGAGAATAAGGTGGATGAGAAATTTTCTCCCAACCATGCTCTTCAATCTTTTGTGACATGATTCTTGCTGTGTGTGGTCGCGCATTGTCCTGATGAAACATCACCTCTTTTCGATTCACTAGAGAAGGTCTTTTTTTCCTCAAAGCTTGGTTCAAACGCTCTAATTGCTGACAGTATATCTAAGCATTAATTGTTGCATTAGGTGGTAAGAATTCAAAGTGGATTATTCCTTAGCAATCCCGCCAGATTGAAAGAAGAACTTTTTGCCCATGAAGTTCCCTTCTCAGCTGTGGTTGGGGTCCTTCTCCTTTACCAAGCCATTTTTCGTTGCCAGTCACAAGTCTATCCAAAAAAGGTGAAACAAGTTGGTGAGAATGGAGAGAAGAGCAGATGTCAACTTGGGATTTGAGGTTGTTTTCAAACAATTCATGAGGCACCCATTTTCCAAGTTTAGGAACTTTTCCAAGTTGTTGAAGATGATGATGAACAGTTGTATGGTTTGAACTGAGAACCACTGCCAATTCCTCAACTGATAAAGCAGGATTTTCTTCAAGGTCTGCTTCAAGAAGCTTTTCATCAAACTGGATGTCCGGTTTGATCATCTTCAAGGGTGAAATCTCCACTTCTGAATTTTGCAAACCATCTTCTGCAAGTTCTTTCATTCACACATTCCTCTCCATAAACCGAGTGAATGTTTCTAGCTGCTTCAGCTGCTGAGTTTCCTTTCTTGAACTCATAAAGCATTATGTGCCTCAAATGATTCTTGGGTACTTCCATGTTAGCAGGGTTTTAATCAAACAAAGTTTAATTTTATTGTTCTCTGAAATAAAATTTGATCATAAAAATAATGTTCAGCTCCATTAGACATTATAAAATACTCTTTAAATTTCGTTAATTTTAACAAAAAGTTAAAATTCGGACAGAACTCATGGGATGACCTGATAAAAACCAAAGAAGAATCTGCAATGTTATTGATCCTAACCCGGCATTCCAGCTTCAGTTACTTTCCCACCATTGTAATGTATCTTTTCTATAAATACTTTCATGGTAATTGTTCTGATGAGCTTTGCTCTATGGTACATAGACTTTATGAATTTAAGTGAAGTACCAGATTGTCAATAAAGTCTCATGATTTGACAGTTAAATTGGCTTAAAGAACTATAACTACTTTGCAAACAGTTTCCTTTTTTCTTTTTTACACTTTTTGCCTGTGGAACTCCTCTGGTACCTTGTTTTCTAGCCAACTTTGATCTTCAAAAATTTAAATGCAATATCAATTATTATCTACCATCTTTTTGATTACTCTTTTGTAGTTCTTGCTCCTTAATGTTTTTATTTTTCTTTCATAAGCACTAACCCCCTATGTGTCTTAATGGCTTTAAATTGCCAGATTTGCTATTTGAAATTATTTGTGTAATTATTTAAAAAAAAAATAAAATAAAATAAATAGTGTTCACTTTAGATGAAATTTCAGATTTTCTATTCTGAAATTATTTGATGAGCCAAGTCTCTTGTGTTCTCAGTGATAGTGATTTTCCAAGTGTAGCTTAGATGTGACACAAGGCCAAATCACTGGCTCAGTGATATCCTGAACTGGAGATTACTATTTATGTTTTTTTTTTAAAGATCTGAAGAAGTCCCAAGATCATGGTAGAAATGTCAAACCACATGTCACACAAAACTAAAGTAGATAGATTCTTCAGAACCAGACCAGAATACCTTTAACAAGATATTAATATGATGAAGTACATTATAGTTCTTGAATACATAGGGGTTTCACATTTGTGACTACCTTCCTTTAATTTTAATGCTTCACAACAAGACACAGGGATCTGAACCTTGAATTGCCCATTTGCAACTGATGATTATAGAACAATAATCTACTAGGTTGCTAGGCTAGGCTGCTTCTGTGAAAAACTTTGGCTTACTATCATCTGGTTTTGTTAATTCATTCCCACATTTAACACCTGGTGGCTGAAATAGAACTGTTACTCTCACCTTCACCAGTTAGCTTACATTGTTTATATGGAAACCCAACCTAGCAGCTTATCAATGATGTCCTGGTATGATTTAACTATTAATTACACAACCCTTAACCATTTGAATGTTTTTCATAAAACTTCTTCCTATACAACCATTGGCAAATAAGATTTTATGTAAACAACCACTCAATCCCACTGGGTTTGGCAAAGTTTTTTTTTTTTGAATGCTCTTGTCGCTGAAATTTTTCTACGAAATACAAAAATCTGTTGCATAGGTCTACACAAACAACTTGGTTTCAAAGTATTTAGTTTAGATAGTTTTGAGGAGTTCTTAAGAAATGAAGCCTGAATATCAAATTGGTGATAACTTAGTATAACTGAGTATGCTTTCTTGGTTAAAATAAAAAAATAACTTTTTTCTATTAGTTCTTTTTCTATATTTAATTCCAATAATCATTAGATGCAAATCAAGCCTTCTCTCACATCCCACTTGATTCTATGCTACAAAACCTGAACCATTCTACATTTAACCATTTGTCAAATGTTGTCAATACTCCACTGCATAAGTGGGTTGTCACCCATCTTGTCACATATAAATTAATAGCAACTCCTTGAAAGGAAAAAAAAAAAAATAAAAATAAAGGCAAACAAAAATAATGTGGTACAGAATTTGGAGCAGAAAAACTAATTTGAAAATATATTATTTTCAAATTTGCTTTCCTGCTCCAAATATTATCTATTCAGAAATGATACTTTATATAAACAATCATCATACTTATTATAAAACCCAAGTTGTGTGTGTGTATGTGTGTGTGTTTGTTTATATATTGGATCGGATTTCCTACATTTTTCAACTGATTTCAACAAAACTTCACAGGACTACATATAATTACCTTGCGGTGGTTCTGTCAGCGCCAAAAATTGGAAAAACAATTGTTTTTGCACAAAATCAATTTGAAAACATGATTAAGAGGCATTGCAAGAATGAAAGGGGGACAACTCATATCGAGTTATACTTATTATAAAACCCAGGTTGGTTGGTTGTGTGTGTGTGTGTGTGTGTGTGTGTGTGTGTGTGTGTTCATTTATATATGGGATCAGATTTCCTACATTTTTTAACCGATTTCAACAAAACTTCCCTATTTTTTTTTTGGCAGATAGTGTTTCTTATTGTCTTGCACACTTTTTTTCTTTATTTTTACATTCAGAATGCTTTAAAAATTCCATTTACAAGACAATTGTTTATAATAAAATTCTATTCAATCGGTAGACTCATAACGATTGAAAACAATGTTTTTGTTTGAGTTTGAGTTTGACCAATTCGTAAAAAAAAAAAAACTAATTAAGACATGTGTGTCCGTCAACCTTAAACAATAATCTTTGTCAATTTTATTTTTCAGTTTTTATGATGGTCGATACTTGATCTATCTCTTACTGTTACATCCCCGGGCAATGCTGGGCTCTACTGCTAGTATTTTATTAAAAAAAAATGTTGAGGAAGCAGGCATAGTTTAGTTAAAAAGAAGAGCACAAAATAATATGAGACAAGACAATATAATGCAAGGCAAAGTAAAGCAAATCAACTCTAAGATGCTAAAGGAAAAAACCCATAAAATAGAAATAGTGTTCACATACAAAAGGGATACAGTCAAGTGCTTATAGCCTTCTAACTTCAAAGCAAGCAAGAAAAAATGCCTGGGTAAAATTGAGTATTGTCCATTTTTACTGGATAAGAAATCTATAAATGTCTATAAATTTAGGGAGGGGGTATTTTTTAGGAGATTGAAACCAACAAACACAAAAATAACCCCCCAAAAAACAAAGGATTTCCATAAGGGTAGCTTATCATCTGAACAGACATTGACACTTATTTATAAACTATGAAAAGTTATAGCTTAAATAGCTTCATTTAATTGAAAAACATTTATCATTCAATCCATGTCCAATAAATATATGTATGCAAGGATTAAAACTCAAAATGGATGTCACTTAAATCAAAAATTGTCCCAGAGAGTAAGCACAAAAATATTTATAAATAACATAAGTAAAATGTTTTTTCTATAGCATAATAATGCTTTAATTACAAGTATTTTTAAAAGGATATTCTTAATATAAGCCTACTTAAATAAGAAAACAATAAAAAATAGTGTTCAATGAAATGAAAAGGAAAATATATGAGAATAGTTCTGGCTTATGGCCATACCACATTGAAACATTGGTTCCTCATACAATCACTGAAGTTAAGCAACATTGAGCCTAGTCAGTACTTAGATGGAAGACCACTTGAGAATACCAGGTGCTGTAAGCTTGGATGTGCTGAGGGTGGAATTGATAATGGCTCAGAATTGTTAATCGGAGATCTAAGTTTTAATTCCAGTAGAGTTGGTTATATTCACTTATGTGCAAATATCCTTGAGAGAGGTATGAATTCACCTATTCTCCCCCAGCTATGGATTAATTAGTAAAATTTGTACTACTAAATCATTATAAAAAGAATTTTTGACAATCTAGAGGTATTTTCTGCAACAGATTGATAAACTGTATAAAACAACTCGGTCACAAATACTTCAATTGTGAGCATGTGGGTAAAGTTAGTCATAATAATATGAAATTGGAAATACCTGTGAAATTTTCATAGTTTTCCTATTTGAATTTTCTGATGAATCTTAATTCTTCAGTTAATAATTGTATAAGCTCATGGCGAGTTCTACGATAATAAAATATCCATAGAAATTTCCTCATTGCATCATTAAATATTTGAGCTTAACAACTTTAACATAATATGGCAATAGCAATCTTAAATATGAATGTTGGTTGTTATGAAATGGAAAAGTTCTCAATTACAAATCTTTTCATTTTAAAAGTAAGGGGGTGCAAATGAAAAGATTTGTAATTGAGAACTTTTTTTATTTCACTGAAACAGACTCTTATCTTCCCTTCTTGTATTTTCTCACTGAAATCAAGTAGCATCTGTGATATGTTTTTTCCATCTTTCCCCACAATCAAAATGGAATACATCATTATTTATGAGGTATTGGCCAGAAACATTAAACTGCTATCTTCTCTTTCTTTAATTTTCTCATTGAAACCAAGTAGCAACTTTGATATGCCTTTTCTGTCTTTCCATGTGATCAAAACAAAATAGTCTATTTATGGAGGTATTGGTAGTATAACAGCCATACTAATTAAGGGAGGGACAAGCAGAATAAGATAAATTGGAAAGAAAGAATTATTCATTGTTTCTCAGTCAATTATATATATATATATATATATATATATATAATTAGAGCACAATTAATTCACACATTTAGTGTCCTGGGAAAGGAATAAATCAACAATTACTGTCTCTCAAATTATTTGCTCTTTTATTTCTGGGAAACTGTCCAAACATTCAGTAACCCATTTATCTATACATAAAAATATATATTAATCAAGGTTATTTGATGTTGCCTGGATTGAAATAACCTTAAGATCATTAACATCATGACGCTAATTATGATTTGTTTGATCAACATTTTAGGCAGGTTTTAATTGGCCAAAAAGCATTGAGGAGTATATTTATTATTTTAACAAGACAAAACTGTTTTTTGAGAATATATACGTTGACCCAGATTCAAAGTATATTATTTACTCTTCCAATCTACAATTAAAGTTGAATATACAAGTATGGTTTATTTTAATCTTATTACTTACAACTGCAATAAATTTTATTCAGAGTACTTTATAATAAAATAACAAATGTTCATCTAAATCTGATATCAATTTTTTTTTTAAACACACCCATTATTAAATGGGGAGGGTAGTGCAGAAACAATTTCATTGAAAAAGTTTTAAAATTTTGGAAAATATTTCTTTGACACTGACAATTTTCCATAATTTTAAAACATTTTCAATGAAATTAACTGTTTTTGCAGTATCCTCCTAATTAATGAGTGTGTTCCAATTGCAGCTACAGTTTGTTCCCCAAAATTTTTTAAAACAATGGTGAACATTTTATCACTTAACAGGTTTTGGGTAAACTGCTACATCAGTTAGTTTCAACAGCTTAACAAATTAACTTTTTTCATACTGACAAATACCTTTAACAATTTCCCATTTTGCTGTCATATTTTTGCCTGCTGAATAAAACAATAATTCAGAAGCAGGTTCAATAATCCAATTATTCAGAATATTTTTTAAAAAGATGGACATAATCAAAAAGTAAATAGAAGCCATTTTTTGTTATTCAAGTCTTATTAAAAACAGTGCCAAATTTTTAAAAAAAGATTGATGGGTCCTGTTATTGTCACATAAGATTGCAATTACTTTACCATTTAATTGTTTGATTGCATCAACAATATATAAAACCTTTCCATATAAAAATATTGCTTTCAATTTTGCAACTGGGTTCATTTTAAGTAAAATTTTGGCCCATTTTACCATGATGACAAATTCTGTTTTTGCTAATGCCTCAGAATTTTCAGCTAAACTAAATAAATTTCCTCCATGATATTGTAGAGCAACTTTGACATACATTTCAGCTAAAAGAATACACTTTTTCTGATTTTCAGAGATTTTTCTAAATATATTACCAAAAAAATTCAAGTCATCTGATTGGGACTTTTGATGTCAAAGCTGATAATGTTCTTACACGGGATAACAAAATCATTCTGAAGTCTGTTATATAAAGATCAAGATCTAACAAAATATTCACTAAGAATACAAGAATCATAATGTTTTGTCCCAATCATTTGTGATTACATAACATGTTTTTCATTTTTTTTTCTTATAAATTTTTAAGTTTTGAAGATTGCTTCATTGGTTTGTGATCAATGCTGAAACATTGATATTTGACTTTTTGAAAGAGAAAAAAATATTCTCTATATATACCAGCATGGTAACATTCAAATCTCAAGTTTTCAAAAATTTTAATTAAAACAATGAAATACCTCCAGTGAAAAATCAAATGGAAAATGCCTTTCACAAACAATATTTGCTTTTTCAGGGGGTGTTGTCTCATTGTATTGACTTTAACCATCGTTCTCACTCAATTTGATCTGTTACAGAAAGTTAATTTAATTTTTCTTTATTCTTCATAATAACAAATATCTTGATTATAAAATTTATTTTTAACAAATAATTTGTGTTTTATTTATATATGAAGTATGTTGATGAAATACATGAACCTTATTTTATTCATTATAGTTACCATAACAACCTGTTACACAGCACTTTTTAACCATTTGAGAAAGATTTGGGGGTACTGAAATTAAAAAATAATAACTAAACTATTAATGTGTAAAAATTACATGGTGCTTCTAAAAAGCATATGAACCTTATATTCTAAGGTCTGGAGTGTTTGGACTTTATAATTTAAGATTCAGAATTGAGAATTTAAAGTTTGTATGAATGTGTGAATTTGTCATCTTTTAGAGGTTAACATGGATTAAGAAATGCCAAGACAAAAGAATTTAGGATTCAGACATGGGGATTTTAGAATTTGAAAAACTAAATTTATCCTTTCTCAGGGATGGGAAGCAAGTAACAACTTAAAACCCATACACAACACAGATTAGTGCCACTTAAAGTCATCTAAATTACAGGTTAATTTTCTGGCATGTTCATAAAAATAGTCAGAAGTCTTTTACAGTATATTTTTATTATTAGCATCCCAGTCTCCGGGGACCATAATTGCTGAAGTGATATAGGTTTGCAGATACATCTGCTATGACTGTGAAGGCCACTGTACAAGTGGTAATCTCTGTTGCAACTGGCACAGATGAAACAAGAGGCCCAAGTTGCAAGGATTGCCTCAGTGCACTTCTTTGATCCCTCCGTTGCAATTTCACACCCACAATGTCCCTACAGACAGTATGATGTCAAGCTGCAGGATTAATGACCTGATCTTTAAAATTTGATTTTAAGAATGGTGGTAACAATTTAGATTTACTGAATTTAATTATAACATTAATTTTACCTGACAAAATTATTAAATAGCATTTTTCATTAGTGTAGCAATGGAAAAAAAAAGTTTCATATTTTGTCTTCTATTTTTGTTGGATCTTTACCCACTCCTGATGTAAATATTTTATTTTGAACTTTTTTAAAAAACATTTTCAATTTATTTACTATGATCCATTTTTTCTTTTTTATTTGTTTAAATTTTATGAAGGGGTTCAGTTCACTATGTAAAATAAATGTTAATCACCCACTACCATCAGTGTAATGAAAAACAGGCTTTCCATTGTCTTTAAGGAATCATGCGGTTCCAAAGTATTTCTAAATTGTTTCACTGGTCAGAGTCTGTTCTATATTGCCAAGTGAACTGAACCTCCCTCATTAAAATTTTTGGATAATTGTATTTTATTTATGTGTATCAATCACACCCTACCTAATATATGATTATTCAAACAAAATTAACTAGCTTAACATTTTTATAGTATTTTTTTTTCTTTCACTATACTGTAAAAATATAAAACTGGTTAATACTGTTTTACATTTTTAACAACAATACTAGTAAATTTCAATATATATTTTTAAAGACCTGTAAATAATAATTTAAAAGAAAAATTTAAAATCAATATGTTTGTTGTTATAAAGAATAATATTATGGAAAAAATATTAAATTGAATTTTTAAAATTTTTTTCAAATTGCAAATTTCTGTATAGTACTCAGGAAAATTAGCAGTGCAAAAAAGTTACATTTTGTTGTTTTCTTACAAGGACAGTATCAACATACTTCATATATAAATAAAACACAAATTATTTGTTAAAAATAAATTTTATAATCAAGATATTTGTTATTATGAAGAAAAGAAAAATTAAGTTAACTTTCTGTAACAAAATTCTTAATAACAATTTTTGTAAATTTTTCTGTTTAAAATAATTGCCAAAAATGTAAACAATGAGAAAGACGATATTGACAAGACAACATCTTACATTTTTGTGGTATATTTTTAAGAATAGTTGTAAAATAAACTTATTAAATTTAATTTTTGACATTAACTTTGTGTGATAAATTTTAATAAGTGTCATTTTTCATTAATTTTTTGTTATATTTTTAATTGTTATTTATTTATAAAGAAAAATTCAACATATTCAAAAAAAAAAAAAAAAAAAAAACCCTGTTTGTTCCATAAAAAACAAATTCATAAAAAATTAATTTTATATTTAATATGGTCATTGTTGAATAACAATAGCATAGAGAAAAAAAATTAAATTAACTTTGTGATAAAATTGTTAATGACACTTGTGAATTTCACACCCCCAAAAAATTTGTTTCAAGATAAAATATGCAAGTTCAAATAAAATAAACATTATACTTACT